CCTAATATACCCCCAATATAACCCTAATATAACCCCAATATATCCCCTAATATAACCCTAATATAACCCCAATATAACCCTAATATAACCCCAATATATCCCCTAATATAACCCTCATATAACCCCAACATAACCCCAATACACTAACCCTGAGCCATGTATGGCAGGCCAGAGCTCTTCAAGAAATTGCGCTTGTGGCATCCCCTTGCCCTGAAATATCCGACGGTGATCAAGAAGCGGCTCAGGGTTTGGGGTTGCTTAGGGCTCAGGGATCAGGGTCTAGGGTTTGGGGTCCAGGATTTAGGGTCTTAGTTTAAGGGCTTTTAGAGCCTAGTATTGATGGATGACTGCTTTTCGCTTTGGATTTTGGATTTTCGGTTTTTGGATTTAGGAGTTTAGGGTTTAGATGAGAGTTTTGTGGTTCGCTTGAGTATGGACCTGGCCTTCAAAATCTTAACCTCCCAACAAAGAATCCTTCCAGATATTGTTTTGCATTTTTGGTGCACGGAGAGGGTGGATTCGCAATGACAAAGCAGGGGTTTTGGGATAGGACTGGGCAGTGCAGCTGCTCGTAGTACCAGTAGTACACGTATAAAGAAATCTATTAAAACCGTGGCATTTTCAGGCGGGCAATCTTATCATTGCCACCCCTTGTCATTGCCTATGGACCTTGTTTACATCTTTTCGGGACTCCGAGCTTGACAGAAAGCAAATGTAGTCTTCCGCTATTTTTCTGGCTCGGCAACAATACATATTGCCACGCTTTTATTAATTGTAGATTAACAATAAAGCTGAAAGTGATAGGGATAGTTACTCGGTGTTGCTACCATCTCTAGCAGAGAGTGGTTGAATTTTAGCTGCAGTGAGATGCGGCATGGCATGTGCAGTCTACAATGTGCACCAATTGGCTGTTTGTTCAGCAGATGCCCATTAAGAAGCCCGGCAGGTTCGACAACCTGGGCCCCTCCGACATTGAGAACCGCGATTTGATGATTGACGTTGAGTGCACTTCTCGGATGCGGAGCACACGTTGTGGGAAACCAATTGAGCCGCCTACTGTCGCGCCTGAGGTTTCTTGCTCAGACGGAGAAGATCGCTGGCTTCACTTACAAGGACTATTCCTCTGCAGCTGTGTCATAAGCAGCTTCCATGACAATGATGTCTGACACAGACAAGCAAGGTACTCTAGTGACACCCGTTCTGAGCTGCTTGCAAGATGTGATCATGGACATACCTCGCTGTGGTTGGACAAGCCGTACGTGGAATTCAGCAAATCTGGCTTCAGTCATGCAGCTCAGTCCTTCCCATGAGAGCCATTCTGTCTCATGTCGCATGACTCAGGGCAAGCTCCATCAGGCTACCATCTGCATGTTCATAAGGAAACCTTATAGACCAGGAATTCACCAATTCCAATAGCCGTAGATGCAACAGCTTGACTGAATCTTTCAGCTAGTGCCTGAAACTCTGCAGATCCGCATTCCTGGTTAGAGGCCCCATGCCCACAAATATAGCATGTGTCCATTCATTGTCTATCTTCTTTTCCATTTGATTCTCCATCCCCCTACATACCCCTAAAGCATGAACCCCACACCGCCTAAACCACAAGCTCTACACCCTAGACCGCAAACAAAGCCTTAAACCTGAAACCCTAAGTAACCCATTTGTCTTTTTGCTTCGTAGCTTCGGCAGCTGATGCTCTTTCCGGAGCGCCATGCCGATGTCACTGAGCAAGCAAGCATCCTCCACCCACACGTTAGGATCACTGTAGGATTTGGAGGACGTAGGTTTTACATAGGGATTATATAGGGACCATTTAGAGGGATAATGGAAAAATGAAAACCATTATTTAGGGTCAGGATTTAGGGGGTTTAGGGATTAGCACCGTTGCCTGGGCCAAAGGGCCTGGGTCTTGTGGGGTGGGTATGCTTTGCAACAGCAGGGCACCATTTAGCAAGCCTGTGAAGAGTTCTCAAGCAATTGGGTTTGGTTCCAGACCATTGATGGATAATTAAGTGGAAAATGCAATGGAAAATATAACCCCAACAATGGAGTTTGGGCTCACTTGTGGAGCCAGTTTTTCGTCCCCGTGCCGATTAGGTTTGGATCCGCGCAGGGTGCCTTTGCAGGGGCAGTCTCCGCCAGGACCTCAGCGACTTCAAGCCTACTTACAATTCCGTACATGCATAAAAAGACTAATCCTGCTGTACCCTTTGCGGTCTTTGGTTGATGCTCCCAGTGAGATCTCCAGAGAAGGCATTTTAACCCTGCTCACGCCAATCCGGCCATGAGGCTTCGCCGTTTGCAGCGGCCGGCGCCTCACCTTTCGTAGGCCCTTCTCCCAGAAATTTCAAACCATCCGCTGAAGCATGTGCCTATGGGGAGTGTGTCGTAGCCAAAGAAGCCTGGTTGTGCTGCACTACAAGGTTAGGTCTTTTAGACCTCATGAACCCCAGACTGCTTCCAAGTTGCATGCTTGGTCATTTTCTTCAACTAGATCAGCTACACATGTTTGTTTTCACATGCGCTCTCACTCATTTCTCATTCACTTTCAGCTATGTACGCGTTTCACTCTCATTCCCGGAGCATTGGCTCCACTTGCCCCACCAGGTAGTTCCGCCTCACCATTTGCATCGACTCCTCCGACGGGAGGACCTTCGCCCTTTGGCGGTGGCGGCGTCACCTCTGCATCACCTTTTGGCGGTGGTGGTGCTGACGGCGGTGCTGTAGCTTCACCATTCTCAGGAGCATCAAACGCAGGCCCTAGTGCATCTCCTTTCGGTTCTGGCGCGCCTTCCCCTTTTGCAAATCCTGCAGGGGTAGCGCCTGCACCACAGCCGTCCGCCTCACCGTTTGGAGCATCACCTTTTGCAGGCAATGCTGCAGCCACAGGAGCACAGGGAAACCGTTCTGCTTCACCTTTCGCGGGAAACCCAGGAGGAACCACTGCTTCACCATCGCCTTTTGGCGGCTCACAGGCAAGCAATCCTTCCCCATTTGCAAGTGCACAAGCAAGCGTAGGTTCCACCCCCTTTGCCGGTGGAGCGCAAAGAAGCTCATCGCCCTTTGGGGCAGCTCCAAGCCAAGGCCCAGGAGTTAGCCCTTTCGGGACTGGTACTGGTGCATCGCCCTTCGCCGGACAAGCGCAGGCGACCCCTTCCACGCCTTCCTCTGCCTCGCCCTTTGCTTCAGCTGCACCAGCTGGGCCAAGTTCCGCATCGCCATTCGGAGGCCAGCAGGTCCCAAGCACTACCTCCGCATCACCGTTCCGTGGTCAGGGCACGGTAAGCTCGGCATCGCCTTTTGGAGGCATGCAAACACAGAGCAGCAGCTCGCCGTTCGGCGCATCACCTTTTGCGCAGATTGGCACGGCAGCCGCGCCAGCCATGGGTGCGCAAGTGGGTGGCATGCCAGCATCTCCCTTTGCAAGTGCAACAGGGGCAGGGGCAGGTGTTGCCACAGCCTCACCATTTGCATCTGCTGCAACGCAGGGAGGCAGCACACCTGTGCCGACGCCAACGACTTCTGCATCTCCCTTCGGCGGTCAGACAACTGCCTCCCCATTCTCGAAGGCTGGGGTGCCTGCACCGTCTGCCAAGGCCCGGGCTTACATGGCATGGCAGGGTTGGGACCTAGTGTGAATGCCGCTCGTTAGCTTGGCTAGCCGTCAGCAGCGGAAAGCCCGTGGATGTTATGATGGCATTTCCTCATGCCTAACTGGCCTAGCTGTGCAACTTGATATAAGTACGCATGAGACATTTCTCACCAACCTTCGGAGCATCGCTGCAGATTTTGAAAGATGAGTTTGTGCCTGTTGTGCCAGGCTGGGGCCGCGCAGAAAGATGCCAAGGACGCTCATCATCTGCGCATTTGGCAGTGTCAGAGATGATGTGGGGGTAAATTGGGGGTACCCTTTTTGGGGTCCCCATAATAAGGCATATAATATATTGGTGTCTTTGCTGGGGTCACCCTATGTTGGAAAACTACCATATCAGTTATTAATGAGTGGATGCACATGTGTAATCTCTCAAAATCATGGGTGCTGCCTTGGGGTCTCTTCGCTCAAGATTCTAGGATTTGATACGTGACTTCTGTCTTGAGAAAGGACCCAACATACATCCAAGAAAAGCTGGCAACAAACAGGGTTTCCCAAAAGTAGGGGTACCTTACTTTTGGAGTCTATATTGGTGCTCCCTTATTTTTGGGAAGCTACCTTAAACCCTACACGGCCTCTTGTTTTGCACAAGGAGCTACTCCCGGAGCTTTTGCGAAGCTGGCTTGCTGTTAAGGTACTCAAATTCAGTTGCCACAATATGGGTATATAGGCTTCAGGGTTACTATAATAAGGAGACCCTATTATTTACTATATACCTGGATTATGGTAACTTAATCTAAGTCCTTTAACAGCAACCCAGGAAAGGTGGACTGGCAGCTGACCAGCTTTGGCATGGACAACCAGGCAGCGTCGCCCCGTTTGAGGGCCATGTTAGTTGGTATTGTGAGGCCTCCACACACGTGTAGTATCAGTGGCGCTGCTTTGAAATCCCTAATCCAAACTCACAGGTGCATAGGGCGAACCCAAGGAAAGCACCCGGCAACCGTCATTTGGACTTGGAAATTGCCATGCTCATCGAGTGCGCGCTTCGATGCTATGCTAACCCAAGCTACACAAATAAGTTCGACCAGCATTTCAGCGAAAAGTCTTCAATGCCTCATCTCGTGCAGTTGCTGCACAGGACACTGAGGTTTAAGTGTAAAGTCTTCATCAGCATGATGCTGCAAAGTGACAAAATCATGCGGAGTCCATGTTACTTACTGAAAGTTGAGGCAGACAGTCAACATGCCAATCAATTGGAGCATGCTGGTGCACCCTGAGTGACCTCGCACTTCTTGCCTTTCGTCCAGAAGTGCTAACGAACAAGCGAAGTAAAAACATCACCCACTCACGAGGCTAGGAGTTACAGCTCCACAGTCGGAATGATGCCCCATTTGCCTGCGTGCCTGAGGGTTCAAAGCATTACAAGGCCTCTGCAGTCAGCAATGACACCTCCTTCGAGGAGTGCACTTTTGGGCTGGGCTTATTCAAATTCAAAGAACTGCAAAGGTTATACTTCACATAGCAGTTTCCCGAGACATTGCGCCTCGCTTTCAGGAGCACAGGTGGACAATGCTTCAGCAACCCCGTACGGAGTGGGGCAATCTCTCTGCCAAGCTGTTGGCCGAGAGCAAGCAAAAGTTCGACGCCTACCTGTCGCCCGGTGCTGCAGCTCCGTCCCAGGCAAAACCTTCTAAGGGGTTGACCTAAAGTTTCCAGCTACCATGGTATAGCCATCGCACTCCGATCCCTGGCTGATGAAGGATGCGGCCACTGCCTCCACACGAGCGCCCTCGCCTTTTGGAGACACTTCGCGGAGTTCATCTCCCTTTGGTGCGACTTCCACATCTGCAGGGTCCACGTCGGCCATTTCCCCCTTCGGCGCATCTGCGGCCTCCGCCTCGCCATTTGGGGGTGCGCCTGTGGCATCGCCTTTCGCTGCCGGCGCCTCACCCTTTGGCCGGGGTGCAGCTTCCCAAACACAGGCAGGGAATTTGAAAATCTTGCGACAATCCTCTATTTTGTACGACCCAGGCACTGGGATCTGGGCCCTTTGCGCAGAGAAGTGCATCGCCTGGTCCATCAGCAAGCTCGCCCTTCGCGCCTGGTCGAAGTGCCTCACCCTTCGGGGCTTCTGGGCAGGCTCAACAGATCACTTTGTGAGGTTCTATCGGTTCTGTTTACTTTAGCCGTAGCCTGTACTGGTTTCATCACGCAACATGGACTCCCTCATGCAAGCGCATTTTGTCAACCGCCTGCGTGATGCAGGCCACTCCGGCGTCGCCGTTCGCACCGCTGCCTCAGCTGCAGAGATTTTTTTCGTGAGATTTACCAAGGAAGTATCCATCATGCATCTGGAGAAGGTAGTCTCCAGGGTTTGAGATTTAGGCTCCAGCGTGCCTTTTGCGTAACGACTGTCAAGGTCAGGAACCGTCAGGGTTTGCCAAGCCCGCTCGAGCTGTCGAGGTCTTATGCCGCGACATCTGATTCGGCGCCCTATGATCCCGTGGGCCTTGGGCAAGTTTGGAGTTGGGATTTCTAGCCCAAGCAAGCAGGGAAAGGTCAAGCTTGAGGCCAAGGCGAATGGTGGGCTGCTCAAAACTGTTTTTGATTTTCTAGGTCCTTGTAATACGGGCTGCTTAAGTTGAGGAGGAACTGACCTTGCTTGGGATTAACATCAATCCCCAGTGCCACCTTTCTGTAACATGCAAGATGTGTGTCTCTCCACATTTTGAGAGTAGGAGATACTTTTGAATTTGGCAAGTGAACATGATTTCTTTTGGTCATTGCAGCTACATGCAGAGGTGTGCAAGTGAACTACAAATAGGGTGCCTCTTGAGATTTTAGCACTGATGCCCGAGTCTGCATGGTGGCCAGGGGGCGCGGTACGGCCTGCCACCGCTGGATTTCAGGCACTGTGATCAGGGTTGTTCGGCTGTAAAGATGCAAATGCAAGTATGGCTGCTTTGCCTTGCAGCTTGTCATTCCCAAGAGACGGCAGTCAGTATTCCTTCCTTACAATCTGCAGATATTCACCATACATACATCTTGAGATATGTACTCAATCTCTGTAAACAGCGAATTAAGTTGTAAGTAGGCTAACGCCCAAGTTGTGCCCAGGTGCAGTAATGTCTTGCAGTCCCTCCGAACTACTGTTGTAGACTTGTAGCTAAGATTCGTGTTTGCTAATTCGCCAACCCAGAGCCCTGGTGATTTCTCAGAATGGCCTTCAAAGACCCTGGGGATATACAGGGATTATGAAGGGAATATGGGTCCTGATTCGGGATTCTATAGCGAATATCTTGATAACTCTCACCTAACCTAAATCTTAAACCCTAAACCCTTAATCCTAAACCTCTGGTGTGCAGTAATAACACGGGGGAATTAAC